TAAAACTTGGTTGTTATTTGTAATATAGACATTTCTAAAATTCTATTATTCAAATTGTCTGACATATCATTTAATAGCCATGTATTCATAAAATCTTACGCGATTTCTTATTAAAATTGCAACAAGTTATCTTTAAATTTTATCCATTTGACCGCGTGTAGTACCGTACTATTTAACGTTGAAGCCCGTGGATTTCAAGTAAAGGGGATCGAAATCGCGCTCCTCGAAAGTCGATAAAGTGAAAAGTAACGCGAATGCAGTTCATCTCGCGTAACTTGTATTTTCTTTGCCACGGAGCCAGGAAAGCTGCATACAAGCATAAGTCGATTAATAACCAGTCACTTCGAACATTCACTGTCACCGCGAGGTTAGCCGATTTCAGTAAGTGGGGTACGAAGAAAAAGTATCGGCAATTGAAAATACAAATTATACAAGAAATGTCAGACCCAAAGGCCGAAGAAATTTTATCTCCACTGCGAGCTAGTGTTAAAGAACAAGTAAGTACCATATGGATTATAATTTCTCTCTTTTAAATATACTTACACGTGTAACAGGTTTCAATGCACTTCTACATTGAACATTAATTAATATACTATGACAGTTTTAATATTACTGTATTATTAGTTTATTATCCTTTGTGTCCAAAGGGTGATTATGTTCGTCAACTTAAATCTGATGGAGCTCCAGAGTTGGATATCAAGAAAGCAGTTGCCGAGCTCAAACTTAGGAAAAAATTGCTGGAAGACAAAGAGTTGTCCCTTTCAGAAGCAGTATCATTTGATAGGGCAAGAATGGAAGATCTTTTAAAACGCAGATTTTTCTTTGATCAATCCTTTGCTATTTACGGAGGAATTACTGGTCAATTCGACTTTGGACCTATGGGTTGTGCATTGAAAACAAATTTATTGAACGCATGGAGAAATTTCTTTGTATTAGAAGAACAGATGTTAGAAGTAGATTGTTCTATTTTAACACCAGAGCCTGTACTTAAAGCATCTGGACATGTGGAAAGATTTGCAGACTTGATGGTAAAAGATATAAAAACAGGAGAATGTTTCAGATTGGACCATTTGATTAAATCACATTTAGAAAAAGTGATTAGCGATAAGAAAACAGATGAGAACACACGTGCAGAATGTAAGGATATTATTATCAGATTGGATGGAATGACCAAGGATGAAATGGCTAATGTCTTATCCAAATTCAATATAAAATCGCCAATTTCTGGAAATGATTTAACGGAACCAATAGAATTTAATTTAATGTTTGGAACTCAAATTGGTCCTTCTGGTCTTGTTAAAGGATTTTTGAGACCAGAAACTGCTCAGGGCATTTTTGTCAATTTCAAACGATTACTTGCATTTAATCAAGAAAAGCTGCCCTTTGCAGCAGCTCAGATTGGAAATGCGTTCCGTAATGAAATATCTCCAAGGTCTGGGTTAATACGAGTAAGAGAATTTACAATGGCAGAAATAGAGCATTTTTGTGACCCAAACGATAAGAACCATCCTAAATTTGAAACAGTTAAAGATTTGAGTCTGCTGCTATATTCTGCTTGCAATCAGATGGATGGCAAGAGCGCACAGTATGTAACTCTGGGTGATGCTGTGATGACAAAACTTATAGCTAACGAAACATTAGGATACTTTATGGGTAGAATTTATCTATTTCTAATTAAAGTTGGAGTCGATCCTAAAAGATTACGTTTCCGTCAACACATGGGAAATGAAATGGCGCATTATGCGTGTGATTGTTGGGATGCTGAATGTCTAACTTCTTACGGCTGGATTGAATGCGTTGGCTGTGCTGATCGTTCAGCTTATGACCTTACGCAGCATACAAAGGCTACCGGAGTAAAATTGGTAGCAGAGAAAAGATTACCAGCACCAAAAAATGTTGACGTGTGCGAAATAGTACCAAATAAAGTTGTCATTGGGAAAACATTTAAGAAAGATAGTAAACTAGTTCAAGACGCTTTGGCAGCTTTGAGTGAAAGTAATATTAATGCTATCGAAACTGAACTAAATGAGAAAGGAGAAGTCGATTTAAAACTATCAAACGATAGTGCAGTCAAAATTACAAAAGATATGATCCAAGTAAAACGATATCAAAAGAACGTACACGTGGAAGAGATAATTCCCTCTGTAATTGAACCATCCTTTGGTATAGGTCGTATTATGTATGCTATCTTTGAACATAATTTTAAAGCAAGAGAAGGAGACGAAAAACGAACTTATATCAGTCTGCCACCAGTTGTGGCTCCTTTAAAATGTTCAGTATTACCACTTAGCGGTAATGATGAATTTGTACCATTCATAAAACAATTGTGTGCGTATATTGTCTTTTTTAAGTATGTATATTAAATTTTAACAAAGTTTTAAGACACATGACTTACCAATTTCAGCTCAGAATCTCACGAAAGTAGATGTCTCGCATAAAATAGATGATTCTTCTGGTAGTATTGGTCGCAGGTACGCACGGACAGATGAAATTGCAATACCATTTGGTATCACCATAGATTTTGATACATTGAAAATGCCTCACACTGCTACACTTCGGGAACGCGATAGCATGGGCCAAGTTCGAATAAATGTGAGTAAACATATTGTAAAATCGCAAATACAAACGTGTAAAATACAAATGATTATTTCTATTTCAGTTGGATGAAATTCCATATGTAGTGAGAGATTTGTCTAATGGCAAACTTACGTGGTCTGAGGTAGAAGAGAAATATCCGAAATTTGAACATCAAGAATGAACAGAAGCATAATACTATATTTATTAACTTAAAGAAATAATTTATTTGCATCGATTAATATAAATGAATTTCTAAAATATTTTGTATTAGCATGAAATGCATTTTTTAAAGCATTTATTATTGTATGTAAGTTTGCATAAACGATGACCATACGAATATTAATGAAAATAAAGTTCTGTTGTTTGTAATTATTCGTTAGTTCGAAAATTTCTATTAACAACAATAAAAATCAATGTCGAACTTAACGCCCATTCTATCGAAATCACATTTAAAACAAATCATTAAACACTTCACGCTTTTCACCCATTTCTCTTTATCAAAATCGTCATGCACGATATCCTGAAGTTGCATATGAACACGGGAAACATCTGGAAAGCATAAATATCGATAATCGTCTACATACTACACTTTGCATTGCATAGTTAAAGTAATTACTGCAACGTCCGGATCGTATTTGACAGCACATCCCGCAGAGTGTTTTTAACGTTCGGATTTCGCCGATAAACTCAAAAACTCTGAGCGAAGGTAAGTAAACAAATAGTTTTCGTAATTGTTCGTCTAAATTCTGTCGATTGTGCCATAACTGAAGGCACAGATATACTACACAATATGAAAAATTATTAGTTCGCACGTCGTATTTAAATTTATTATTTAGTAAAATACGATTAATTATTAACAAAATTACAAATAATGAATTCAATATGATAGATTTCTGCAAATTGTGAAAGTTTGTGACTATTCAAATCTATAATCGATATGGAAATACCTATATCGACTAATTTAATACCGCTAATAACTCACAGGCGGCGCTTTCACAGTTGAAGTAGTTGCGTCGTAGATACGAAAATCAAAAAGACGTCGTGCAAAAATATCAGATATAAAATAGATTAGTTCAGTTTAACTCTAATTACCTAAAGTATCCGAATACCATGTGCATAGTGTCTTAATAGTACAATCAAGATACCAGGGCTGCCGAAATCTCAAATCCATTGCTGTTGATAGAGCAAAGGTATGAATCGGGGTGTTCTTTGTAAAAAATTTTTTATGCACATCGTACTGTGGAATCCCGACTGAAAATAGAAATAATACTTTGTACGTGCTTTCAATTTTGGACGTATACATGAATAATGCTTGTGAAATTGTTGCATACTAATAGCATATTGCACTTTCAGTACAGGTGCCCAGAAGTGAACCGCTGCCCATGCCCTGTCCGGTATCATGGCCTTATCAAAATTAAGTCCGCATTCAGATTTTCCTACGATCTCTTCTTCCAAACACAACAGTTGCAGCCAACGCCAGTTCACTCCAAGTTTTCTACGTTTGCAACGAATGTGAGTAAAACTCAATTTTTAATTAAATTCTGTCGCTAAATAGATTTCGTTATGGGGTACTATTTGTATTTCTAACTTTTGTCCTATAATCTGATAATAGTTGAAATTTTATACTCCATCGATTAAATTAAAAAAAAGATTGATGCCCCAGAATGAAATTTAATTTTTTTCTTATTTCTCACATTTATGTATTAACGCATGTGTTAAACTATCGAATACGTGCATGCAATAATATTGTTATCATTCGACTCTTCTTTTTGCAATGTAAAACACTAGTCTACATTGACCATATATAATTTTGAAAAGGGAAGATTCACGGTATGTGTAAAAATTTTGTCAGTAATCAATATACTTGGCTAAACTGATGAGTAGATCTCCCGTTGGTGTTGCTATGTATGCATAGTTCACAGACAAGGTTGTGAGAAACTCCAGGCAACCGATCGCGCGAAACCAGTCGCATTTCTGGATTCTTTTGTCCGTATAAAATCCTGATTTGACGGTGTACGCAGTATCTACCGTGAGTCCTACCATTTTCTCGAATGCACGCCAACAATACACGTATCTCATTGTTTTACGAGAGTTGTACAATGCCAATAGCAGTCGTACACCTTCGTCTGGCGTTAATGACAAACCTTCCAGACAAATAGATTCGAGGCTAGTCCGTTTACTACAACGTATGACATACATATAAAGCAAGTCTTACTACTTTTGCATGCATATCATTACTTTGTCGTATTTTACGATTTCGTATATCATTGATACTAAGAAAAAATCGCATTTTCTTTCATTTTTAATATTGGGTATATCTGTTCATTCCGAGTTCATTTTAAGCATCTTTATGTTAAAGAGTTTGTACATTTATATCATTGACGTACCAGATGATTCGTTCTAAAAGAATTATTATATTCCTTCGGCCGATTCTATCGAGTGTAGGCAATCGTATTAGTTGTTCCCAAACATTGATTCCTTTTTTGCGTTTTTCACTATGTTGAAGTCTACGCCATTAAAAATTATTTTCCGCGTTTATTCCCTTTTTATATATTTAGTATGTAAACTGTCCATTTTACCGATTAAGGAAAACAGTTTTAAACAATCTGTTGGTAAAGAGCCTTACTTGCTTAGCGTAACCTGTAGAGCATGATTCACTTGTTTCTGGTAGGAAGGCGAGTTTTTCATCGCGGTTGAATACAAGTGCCAGTAGAAACGGGCCTGAGCATAATAACTTTTTAATTATCAGCCACCGCACGATCTTGTCGACCAACATTCGTAATTGAGTTCTAGCCGTTCGGGTTAATCGAGTTTTGGGCTTTTGAATTCACCAGGTTTCCTCCGGTGATATACGTACCTCCCTCGAGGGCAGACGCAAATTCGTCGCCGTCCTTGGAAATGCAGCCCGCTCGCAGTGTAGCATCATTTCCCAGTAACTCCGAGACTTCTCCGTATATCGTACCCTGAATAACCATGGTCGTGAACCTTTTAATTTTCTGTCCTCACCGTCCCCACTTCGCCGTCCTTCACGCTTCTTTATCGCGATGGAAATATTACCTGGGAAGCTGTTTAAGCAATTCCTCGACAAGGGGATCCGATTCCTCTACCATGTTATAACAAGCTGAAAGGGGCGCGCAGGTGCCCGTGAATAGTTCTTCTGACTGGCAGCTTATTTTATTATAAACAGTTAGGAGGATGAATTTGTATTTGAGTTGTTTTATTATTAATTAACGTTATTACATTGATTGGAGTCCATCCTCGGAAGACGAACTGCAGAGAGTCGATGAATGCTTTCCACAAGTGTTCGTTCTAGTGAAAAATTAATTAAGGACGTGTTTTTAATATCGTTTCATGTCTAGTATATTATATGTTATGTCGTATATTGTTACTCGGCGCATATTTTTTGCGAATCGGACGATGTGTCGCTCGAGGGTGAAGAATCCTTTCCACAAATGGAAAATCGTTCACTATTAAATTATGAATTAATCAGATGTTAGTTTTTATCACTCGTTTCATTATGTCTTATGCATTATGTTTCGTGTACTCGGTGCACGGTTTTCGTGAATCTTCTGACGTGCAGCACGATGACGAAGAGTCGTTCTCACAAACGGAGATTGTTTTGCTGTTAAGATATGGCTTAATGAGAAATTATCATATTTGTATAACGTATGCACTTTTATACATACTCGATGCATGGCAATATTGATTCTTCTGATGTCTCACAGACTGATGACGAATCTTGTCCACAGACAGGAATTTTATCACTGTAAACGTTTGGGGTAATGAAAAAGTATCTTTATTTTTATAGTATGGTATGTTACGTTGTTCTAAAAATATTACTGGATGCATGGCTGTTGTGACTCGTCAGAATTAGAGTCACAGACTGATATTAAATCTTCCCCGCATACGGAATTTATATCTCTGTTAAAATATGCATTTGTAATACATATAATGAATGGTCATATTATTTTGTTAATGTTACTTGGTTTTGTGTAATTTTTTCGAATTTGCATTATCTAAATCCGATTTGTCTGAAGCATCGTGACACATGAGATCCTTGCAGGTGATAGTGAAAGAACTCGATTTTTCTATTGCAGTAGTCATTTTTAGTTTATTAAAATA